ATTGACCGGTTTTGATTTTTATTTTGATCTATTTTGAATTGCGTGACACTGAAAACCAGCAATAGATCAACAGGGCAAAAAGCTTGAAAGAAAGGTTTATCGAGAAAAAAAAATACGTGGCGAATGTTAGCAATTTAAAAATTCTTAGCTGTGAACATTCTATATTTTGTTTTGGTTAAACTGCTTGGGAATTTCATACATTTGAGACAAAAAGTACTTCGCTTTTTGGCACCGGATTTGTTACTCCATAGGAACTTGTGACGTCACTCTAGACTTCGAAAACCACCGGAAGCAATCATTTCAACACGAGAAATGGCGAAAAGATTTGCACGTTCGTACGTATCCTGATAACTTTGGGCCACGGTCCAAAGAGCTGGAAAGAGTGACCCTTAGCTAATGACTCTTAATTTGTTTTGATACACGTGCGGAAAGCATAAAAGAACACTGTTCTGTTTGTTCTGGATACAAATCGTATCTTTCCATCATTTGTCCAGTTTCCGGCTTGCGCGCCATGCAGTCGAACTTCCTGTGACGTCATCGGTAATGTTATCGGGCATTTCGGATTACGTGATAGAGTATCAAAACAAAGAAAAAAGATGTTATTGTCTTAGTCATTTACAAGTTCATTCAGCTTTGTAAAAACCTAACATTCAATGGAAAAAGACTGTTTGTATTTTCTAGCACTGGGTAATTTTTTTTTTATGCTGAAGTTACAGAAACTGCATTGCAGGTAAAAAAAGCCTAGACACGTGATACAACAGAGAAGAGAGGATGCTCGGTCGGAGAGCTGGAGGGTAAAGGGAGGAGGGTGGCTGCAGTGGTCTGTAAAGGGACAGAGAGGGGAGGAGCGACTGATACTAGTGCCCTTTCCTCACTATCCCCGTCCCGTAAAATGTAACTGCTCTAACCTATCGACACTCCGGATCGCAAGGTTTGTGCGAACTATAGTCTCTGCTATAATTCCTTGCATTACGACGTTACCTTTACGGAAATGACTGGCATAAAGCTGTTTAGACTCATCGAATGAATATTTAAAAAAAGGCCTTGCAGAATCTGTCGTTACGGTCAATTTCGATCTGTCTGTTACTGTGGCCTGTAGTTATCAAGTTCGTGGACCGACGCGTGTCCATGTCGCGGTTTTGGGTGGTACAGAAAAATTACACGTGAAAGGATTTTTAAGAACCCCAGTCTGAAAGGCACAAGAAGCTATTGGTGTGGGTATAGCTCAGACAAAATTATTTCTTAACAACTAATCTTTTGACTTTCGACTTACGCTGAAGCTGGCTATACTGCGAGT